GTCCCATCAAATTTCCAATAAAGTAACCTGTCCCCCTCACAGCCCAAAAGTAAACCCCGTTCCCCCTCACAAACCAATAAAGTAACCTTCCCATCATTGCCCAAAAAATAAAACCCGTCCCCATCAAATTTCCAATGAAGTAAAATGTCCCTCATTGCAAAAAAAGTAACATGCCCATCATTGCTAATAAATTTAAACCCAGGCCCCCCCCCCCTCACCCCGCCAATAAAGTAACCTGCCCATCATTTTCAAAAAAATTAACCCCGCCCCCTCATTGCCAATAAAGTAACTTGTCCCATCATTGCCAAAAAATAACATGTCCCACCCTTGCCAATTAAAAAAAATTAACATGTTCCCATCATTCCAATAAAGTAAAATGTCCCAAAACATTTTTCCAAAAAGTAACAAAGTCCCCCTCATTTCCCAAAAAAGTAAAAAGTCCCATCATTTTCAACAAAGTAACCTCCCTTGCAAACATTGCCAATAAAGTTAAACCCGGCCCCCTCACTGGGGCCCAAAAAAGGGAACCTGTCCCATCATTGCCAATAAAACAAAACCGTTTCCCTTTATTGAAAATAAAGTAACTTGTCCCATCATTGCCAAAAAAGAAAACCCGTTTCCCAAACATTGCCCCAAAAAAGGAAAACCCTTCCCCTCATTGCCAATAAAGTAACCTTCCCATCAATTTCCAATAAAGAACAAAGTCCCATCATTGTCAATAAAGTAATTTTGTTTTCCCCTCTTTGCTAATAAATTAACCGTCGGGGTCATTGCCAATAAAATAACCTGTCCCCCTCATTGGGTAATAAAGTAGCCTTCCCATCATTTTTTTTCCAATAAAGTAACCTGCCCCCTCATTGCCAATAAAATAACCATGCCCCCACGCCAATTTAAAAAAACCTGTCCCAAACATTGCCCAAAAAAAAGTAACCTTCCCATCAAGCCAATTTAAAATAACCTATCCCACATTGCCAATAAAGTAACCTGTCCCCCTCATTGCCAATAAAGTAACCTGTCCCATCATTCCTAAAAGTAAAAAAGTCCCCTCAATTTTCAATAAAGTAAAATGTTCCCAAACTTTGGCCCCAAAAAAAGAACCTTCCCCAATCATTGCCAAATTTAAAGGGAACCTGCCCCTCATTTCCAAAAAAAAGTAGCCTGTCCCATCATTGCCAATAAAGTAACCTGGCGCATCATTACCAAAAAAGTAACTTGTCCCAAACCCCCATTGCCAATAAAGTAATCTGTCCCATATTGCAAATAAGTAACCGTCCCCTCATTAAACCAAAAAAGTTTAACCCCGTCGCATCTTGGGCCCAAAACAGTAACCGTCCAACATTACCAATAAAGTAATTTTTTCCATCATAAACCAATAAAGAACCTGCCCCATTATTCCAAAAAAGTATCCTTTTCCCCACCATTGCTAATAAAGAAAACCCGTCCCATCAAATTTCCCCAAAAAAATTTAACCCGTTCCTTCCTTACCTAAAAGTAATCTGTCCCATCATTGCCAAAAAAGTAACCTGTCCCCATCATTGCCAATAAAGTAAAACCCGTTCCATCATTACCAAGACAGTAACCTTCCCAAACATTGCCCCAAAAAAGTTTAAACCCTTTCCCCTCATTGCCCCAAAAAGTAACATGTCCCATTATTGCCAATAAAGTAAAACCGTCCTGTCATTGCCAATAAAGTAAAACCCGTCCCATCATTAAACCCAAAAAAGTAACCTGTCCCAAACCCTTGCCAAAAAAGTTAACCGTCCCCCCTCAATTTCCATAAAGTAACCTGTTTCCCCTCAAAACCAATAAAGTAAAACCCTTTCCCAAACATTGCCAATAAAAATAACCTGTTCCATCATTTTTCAGTAAAAAAACCTGACCCCTCATTAAACCCAAAAAGTAGCCCGTCCCCCTCATTGCCAATAAAGAACCTGTCCTACATTACCCAAAAAAGTAACCTGTCCCCAAAATTACCAATTAAAAATAACCCCCCGGGCCCCCTCTTTGCCAATTTAAAATAATCTGTCCCCTCATTGCCAAAAAAGTAAACCCGTCCCCTCATTACCCCAAAAAAATAACCTTTCGCATCTTTGCCCAAATATATAAACCTGCCAATTTAGTACCAAAAAAGTAATTTGGTTTCCCCTCATTTTCAATAAAATAAACCTTTTCCCATCATTACCCCTAAAGTAAACCCGTCCCATCATTTCCAATAAATAATCTGTCCCATCATTGCTAATAAAGTAATCTGTCCCATCATTGGGTAATAAAGTAACCTGTTTCCCCCATTACCAAAAAAGTAAAACCCGTACCAAAACATTGCCATTTAAATAACCGTCCGCATCATTGCCAATACAGTAACCTGTCCAAATTTTTAAACCCAAAAAAGGGAAACTGTCCCATCCCTTGCTTTAAAAAAGTAATCTGTCCCCCTCATTGCTAATAAAGTAAACCCGTCCCCTCATTACCAATAAAGTAATCTGTCCCATATTGCTAATAAAGTAACCGTCCCATCTTACCAATAAAAATAATCGTCCCATCATTGCTAATAAAGTTTAACCTTTTCCCATCATTTTCCAAAAAAGAATCTTCCCCTTTATTGCTAATTTAAAATAATTTTGGGCCCCTCATTTTCTAATAAAGTAACCTGTCCCCTCATTAACCCAATAAAGAACCTGTCCCATCTTGCTATAAAATAAATCTGTCCCCCTTTCTAGTAAAATAAACTGTCCCCCTCATTTCTAATAAAAAAATTTTTAAAACCTTTTCCCCCTCATTTTCCCAATAAAGTAAACCCCCGTCCCCTCATTACCAATAAATAACCTGTCCCCCTCTTTTTCCAATAAAGTAATCTGTCCCATCATTGCCCAAAAAAGTAACCTGCCCTCATTTCCAATAAAGTAAAACCCGTTTCCCTCATTGCCAATAAAAGTTCCTGTCCCCAATTTAGTACCAATAAAATAATTTGTCCCAAACCCTTATCAATAAAAATACCTGTCCCCTCAATTTTCCAATAAAGTAACTTGTCCCAAACTTAAACCCAAAAAAGTAATCGTCCCCCTCATTGCTAAAAAAAAAAAAAAAAATAAACTTTTTCCCAACATTGGTAATAAAGTAACCTGTCCATTTTTTTACCAAAAAAGTCACCTGTCCCCCCCCTTGCCAATAAAGTAACCTGTCCCATTATTGCCAATAAAATAACCAATCCCATCATTGGCCCAAAAAAGTACCCCCGTCGTATTTTTTTGCCAATACAGTAACCTGTTTTAATCATTACCAATAAGTAACCTTTCCCCACCCTTGCCAATAAAAATAACCTGTCCCCATCATTGTCAATACATAACCCTTTTTCCCTCATTGTCAATAAAGTAACCTGTCCCCCTCATTACCAAAAAAGTAACCTGTCCCATCATTGCCAAACAGTAACCTTTTTTCCCTCATTGTCAATAAAGTAACCTGTCCCCCCCATTACCAAAAAAGTAACCTGTCCCATCATTCCGTTAAAGTAAAACCCGTCCATCATTGCCAATAACAGAAAAATGTTTCCCAAATTTTTACCCAAAAAAGTAACCTGTCCCATCTTTGGGCCCAAAAAAGGGAACCTGTCCCATCTTTGCCAATAAAAATAAACTGCCCCTCATTGCCAATACCTAAAACCCGTCCAAACCAAATTTCCAATAAAGTAAACCCGTTTAAAATCAAAGTCAATAAAGAACCTGTCCCCCTCCCTTACCCTAAAGTAACTTGGGCCCATTATTACCAAAAAATTAACCTTTCCATCATTTTCCAATAAATAAAACCCGTTCCAAATTTTTTACCAAATAAAGAAAACCTGTCCCATGATTGCCCAAAAAAGTAACCTGTCCAATCATTTAACCCAAAAAAGTAATTTTTCCCAAACAAATTTCCAATAAAACAACTTGTCCCATCATTACAAAAAAGTAACCTGTCCCATCATTACCCCAAAAAAGTAACCTGTCCCATCAATTTCCAATAAAGTAATCCCTTTTCTCAATTTCCAAAAAAGCAAATTGGGCCCATCAATTTCCAATAAATAACTTGTCCATCATTTTCCCCCAAAGAACTTGTCCCAACCCTTCCAAAAAAAGTAACTTTCCCCTCAAAAAAAATAAAGTAATCTTTCCACATTAAACCCAAAAAAGAAAAATTGTCCCCTCATTACCAAAAAAGTAACCCTTTCCCATCATTACCAAAAAAAGTAACTTGTCTCATATTACCAATAAAAATTTAAATTGGGCCCCTCATTACCAATAAAATAACTTGTCCCATCATTACCAATAAAGAAAACTTCCCAAAATTAAACCCAAAAAACAATTTCCCCCTCATTACCAATAAAGTAACTTGTCTCATCAATTTCCAATAAAGTAACTTGTTCCCCATCATTACCAATTTAAAATAACTTTTCTCATCAAATTTCCAATAAAGTAACTTGTCCCATCATTACCAAAAAGTAACGTTCCCATCATTTAAATAATTTAAAAAAACGTGTCCCCCTCATTGCCAAAAAAGTAACATTAATTTGTATAAAACATTCAATAACTGAAGAGTTCTTTTTCTAACTAATTTATTAGCTTAATTTATCCTCTGTTATTATGTGAGTTTGAAAATGCTAATTCGTTCAACTTGGATGTTTAGTTTATAATAAAGGGTGACATTTTTTTTAATATAATTAAATTACGAATAAACTTTCAATTAAGATTTATTAGTTTTGTTTCGTCAACTTTTATAATGAATCTCAATTTGAACTTATATCTTTATTCTATGTTAAAAAATTTATTTTCAAAATAACCTTAAATGCAATGAAAATTTGTTATCATTTGATTTGATTAAGACAACAGCGCGTTTATTCACACAATTTTTATATCAAGCACAAAGGATTACAAAATGTTAAGATATCACTGTATGCTAAAATCAAACTGCCTTTAAAATCATTTAAAAATTCACTTAATTATATTTAATATTGGTCAAGTGATACTGACTAGGTCCATGACAGCAGCAATGAGCTGAGGGTCAGGCACGACCCAGGTGGCACGTCTCAAGTAGAAAGCTGAAGCGTTCCCATCCCCATTCCTCACAAGATCCACCGGTACCAGCTTCCTTTCCCTTACTAAGACAACACTGGTCTCACGCACTCCACCTTCATTGTCAAGACTGTTCCTTCGGCTGGGATCTGCCACAATATCACGTCATGTTTTATAATTGAAAGAGATAAGAAAAAGATTTTCTCGTTAAAAATAAGTATCATAATATTATATAATATATATATATATATATATAATATATATATATATTATTATATCTATATATATATATATATATATATATATATATATATATTAATTTTATATATATATATATATATATATATATATATTATATATATATATATATATTTATATATATATATATATATAAAATTTTTTATATATAATATATATATTATATATATATATATATATATATGTGTGTGTGTGTGTGTGTGTGTGTGTATGTGTGTGTGTGTGTGTGTGTCTGTGTCTGTGTGTATGTGTGTGTGTGTGTTTATGTGTGTGTACTCACCTTCTCACCTAATTGTGGTTGCAGGGGTCGAGACTCAGCTCCTGGCCCCGCCACTTCACTGATCGCTACTAGGTCCTCTCTCTCTCTGCTTCCTGAGCTGTATCTACCTCTTTTTAAAACTATGTACGGTTCCTGCCTCCACTACTTCACTTGCTACGTTATTCCACTTCCTGACAAACCTATGACTGAAGAAATACTTCCTAACGTCCCTGTGACTCGTCTGAGTCTTCAGCTTCCAGTTGTGACCCCTTGTCCCCTCTCTGGAACATCCTATCTCTGTCCACCTTGTCTATTCCCCGCAGTATCTTGTATGTCGTTATCATGTCTCCCCGACCCTTCTGTTCCTCCAGTGTCGTCAGTCCGATCTCCCAAAACCTTTCCTCGTACGACATTCCCCTGAGCTCTGGGACTAGCCTTGTTGCAAACCTTTGTACTTTCTCTAACTTCTTGACGTGCTTGACCAGGTGTGGTTTCCAGACTGGTGCTGCATACTCCAGTATGGGCCTAAAGTACACAGTGTACAGTGTCTTGAACGCTTCCTTATTAAGGTATCGGAACGCTATTCTCAGGTTTGCCAGGCGCCCGTATGCTGCAGCAGTTATTTGGTTAATGTGTGCCTCTGGTGATGTGCTCGGTGTTATGGTCAACCAAAGGTCTTTCTCCCTGAGTGAGGTCTGTAGTCTTTGTCCACCTAGCCTATACTCTGTCTGCGGTTTCTTTCCCCCTCCCAATCTTCATGATTTTTGCATTTGGCTGGATTGAATTCGAGAAGCCAGTTACTGGACCACATGTCCAGCCTGTCCAGGTCTCTTTGCAGTCCTGCCTCATCCTCATCCGATTCAATTCTTCTCATCAACTTCACATCATCTGGGAATAGGGACACTTCTGAGTCTATTCCTTCCATCATGTCGTTCACATATATCAAAAATAGCACTGGTCCTAGAATTGACCACTGTGGGACCCCGCTCGTCACAGGCCCCCACTGTGATACCTCTTCACGTACCATGACTCGTTGCTGCCTCCTTGTCAGGTATTCCCTGATCCATTGCAGTGCCCTCCCTGTTACATGCGCCTGATCCTCCAGCTTCTGCACTAATCTCTTGTAGGGAACTGTGTCAAAGGCCTTCCTGCAGTCTAGGAAAACGCAATCTATCCACCCCTCTCTCTCGTGTCTTACTTCTGTTACCTTGTCATAAAACTCCAGGAGGTTTGTGATACAAGATTTGCCTTCCATGAACCCATGCTGGTTTTCATTTATAATCTTGTTCCTTTCCAGGTGTTCGACCACTCTCCTCCTGATAATCTTCTCCACGACTTTGCACACAATACATGTCAGAGACACAGGTCTGTAGTTTAGAGCCTCGTTTCTGTTTCCTTTCTTAAATATGGGGACTACATTAGCTGTCTTCCATTTCTCAGGTAGTTGCCCAGTTTCAAGGGATGTGTTGAAGGTTGTGGTTAGGGGCACGCACAGCATCTCTGCTCCTTCTCTAAGGACCCATGGGGAGATGTTGTCTGGTCCCATCGCCTTTGAGGTATCAAGATCGCTTAGCGGCTTCTGCACCTCCTCGTCGGTTGTTCGTATGTCATCCAACACTTGTTGGTATATTCCCTCTTGATGTTCCCTTCTGTGCTGTCTTCCCACAGCCCTTCCTGTCTCTACTGTAAAAACTTCCTTAAATCTCCTGTTTAGCGCCTCACATACCTCCTGATCATTTCTTGTGAGTTCTCCACCTTCTGTCCTTAATCTGATCACCTGGTCTTTGACTGTTGTCTTCCTCCTGATGTGGCTGTACAACAGTTTCGGGTCAGTCTTGATTTTCGACGCTATGTTATTTTCATACTGTCGCTGGGCCTCCCTCCTTACCTGTGCTTACTCGTTCCTGGCTCTGTGACTGATCTCACTATTTTCATGTGTTCTCTGCCTTCTGTACTTTTTGCATTGTCTATTGCACTTTGTTTTTGCCTTCTTACACCGTCGGGTAAACCAGGGGCTCGTTTAGGTCTTCCCATTGTTTCTGTTGCCCTTGAGAATAAACCTTTCCACTGCCTTCTTGCATTTTGTTGTTACGTATTCCATCATTTCATTTACTGGCTTTCCTGCCAATTCTCTGTACCACGGAACCTCCTGCAGGAAGTTCCTCAACCCTATGTAGTCCCCTCTTTTATAGTCAGGCTTTTCCCATTCAACTCCTGTTACTATCTCTACTTGCAACTCTACTATGTATTAAAAGCACAGAACCACGTGGTCACTAGCTCCTAGGGGACTCTCATATGTGATGTCCTCGATGTCTGAACTGCCCAGGGTGAACACAAGGTCCAGTCTTGCTGGTTCATCCTCCCCTCTCACTCTGGTAGTGTCCTTAACATGTTGGTGCATGAGGTTTTCCAGCACCACATCCAACATCTTGGCTCTCCATGTTTCGGGACCCCAATGTGGCTCCAGGTTTTCCCAGTCATTATCCCTGTGGTTGAAATCCCCCATAACCAGCAACTTTGCTCTGCTGGAGTGAGCTCTTCTTGCCACCTCAGCAAGTGTGTCCACCATTGCTCTGTTGCTCTCTTCATATTCCTCTCTTGGCCTCCTGCAGTTCTGTGGTGGATTATACATCACTGCAATGACCACCTTGTGCTCCCCAGACTGACGTGTACCTACTATGTAGTCCCTTTCTCCTGTCTCTTCTATGCCTCCCATTTTCTCGAATTTCCATCGTTTTTTTACGAGCAAAGCAACCCCTCTTCTCCCTCTGCCCCTTCTATCTTTCCTCATGGTCTGGTGTCCTGGTGGTAAGATTGCATCTGTTATTGTCTCCGTGAGTTTTGTTTCTGTAACTTCTATGATGTCTGGGGACTTCTCATTGATTCTTTCTTGCCATTCCTCATATTTATTCGTTAATCCATCCGCATTTGTGTACCAAACCTTCAACTTCTGTTCTAATACTGTAACTGTGGTCCTGGGGGAATACTGGGGTTGGGAGAGCAGGAGCCCTGGTGGGGGCCTTTGGAGGGTTGCAGTGGAGGTGGAGGAAGAGCTCCCATAGGGGGTTGCTGTAGGGGTAGGGTTCGTGGTGCGGGGGTGGGAACAGAGGGATCGGTGTGTGATGGTTGGTTTGGATTGTTCAGTTGCCTTAGGGGTGTCGTGGCTGGAGTCCTTCTGCAGGTGTTTCTGGGGGGTGTGCTTGTCCTTCCACCTGTTCCTGGGTTATTCTGCTCTCCTTTTTCATTTCCTCCCATTCCTCCTTTCGTTTTTGCACTCTCTCTTTCAGTATCATCCTTTCCTCCTGTGTTCTGTCTCGATCGAGGTACACACTCAAGAACTCCTGTTTGCCTCTCAGCCGTGCTTTCTCCTGCAGGATCATGGTTCGGGTTGATTCTGCCTTGAAAATTACTTTGAGAGGCCGATTCCTTTTCTTTGTGAACCACCCGATTCTCCGAAAATTTGCCACCTGGGTCATGTCACTCTCGCCTATCACCTTCAGGATACCTTCAATTGATTTTTTCTCCTCCTGCTTTCTTTCCTCATAAGTTTCCCCTTTAGCTTCGTCTAGCCCATAGACAACAACTGATCTTTCCCTTTCCACCTCCCACTGTGACTCCCATTGCATCCTCTGAGGTGTTTTAGTTCCTTCCCGTGGAGTGTTCCTTCCTTCAGTCCCTTCCCTAGCTGTGGCCCCTATGCTCATTGTGTGTGTGTGTGTGTGTGTGTGTGTGTGTGTGTGTGTGTGTGTGGTGTGTGTGTGTGTGTGTGTGTGTGTGTGTGTGTATGTGTGTGTGTGTGAGTGTGTGTGTGCGCATGTGTCTAATGTTACCCCTCACTGCTACCCATTTCCCACTCCTCACACCTGATCAGGGGGAGAGATGGTTAATTAACGGGGGTAGGGGAGGGGTAGTTGGAATGTGGTTGAAAAGTAACCGTTACACACACTCTGTCATGTAGGTTCAGATTTGTAGTCCCAGCTCTCTTTCCTAGTAATGCTACCTTCTCCACTTATTTCACTTTCTGGATTTAAGTACCAATTACTGGTGGTTATTATCCTATTCCTTGCTCACACTGAGAGAGGACCTCCTTGCTTACAGTTGGCAGGACCTAGCTAAGTATTTGACCCACAACACCACGTTTAGGCAAGTACATACGGCTGGCAGCGCTGAACTCGTTGACTCATGACTCCTGGTTCCACTTCAGTTTCTTCTCTCTCTGTATTTTGATTAAATTTGCAATGCGTCAATCACAGCACTAGATTTGCACTTCACTACTGCCTTGGGGTCACACCTTACCGCTTATCATTTATGTTGGCTGGCACTATGACTTTCCGCATTAGACCACGACTCAGTGTTGCATAGTTTGTTATTATTGTGTGGGTGTGTTTGTGTACTCACCTATTTGCTCACCTAATTGTGGTTGCATAGCTCATGGCCCCGCCTCTTCGCTAATTGCTACTAAGTCCTCTCTATCCCTGCCCCATGAGCTTTATCATACCTCGCCTTAAAACTATGTATGGTTCCCGCCTCCACTACATCACTTTCTAGGCTATTCAACGGCCTGACTACTCTATGACTGAAGAAATACTTCCTAACATCCCTTTGATTCATCTGAGTCTTCAACTTCCAATT